AAAGAAAGAAAGAAAGAAAGAAAAAGAGAAAGAAAGAAAAGAAAAGAAAAAACTACTGTCAACTTGGCCCAAATCTAGGAATTCTAATGGAATAAAGGACTAGCCGTCCCCCACAACCCACTGCACACTCAGCTCTCCAGCTGGACCAGCTCACCCCTCCAAAGCTCTACACTAGGACTCCTGAGTTATTGGCCACACTTCCCAGTGGGCCCCACTGACCACATGGAGACCCCGAGCAGTCAGGGGACACGTGGGCTTATATGAGCAGCGACCAAGATCTCCCAGCCCAAGCCCCCCATGAAGACAAGGACGGTGTCTGAGGCAGGGGCCTGGTGAGCTGCAGGTTCTCACACTTCCCATTTCTCCCCCTGGGGTCCTAGTTAGAGACAGATTCCCGAGCCCACCCCAGACCACGTCGGTGAGAATCCAGGAGAGGGTTCAAAGACCCTGTCCTTCTAATAAGAGCCCCACAACTCTAACCACCAGGCAAGCTTGGGCAACACCGGCAGAGCGGGGAAGGCGAAAACTGGTTTCCAAGGTCGGGGTGAGCCTGGTGAACCCCTCCTCTCTGAGTCCCTGCGTCCATCTGTCGATGCTGCATTATCAAGAGGATGAAATGGACCAAAGGCCACGGGAGCACCTGATGTGTCACAGGTGGTAAAAGAGTGCTGTCCTGGGCAGGTCCAAGCCAGACGTGAGGGGAGTGCCCCGCAGCGTCCTCTGGCTCTGCCTTCATCCTGCCCTCCCAAGGGCGGCAGACGGTACCCCGCAGCAGGCTCCTGCTGACCTTCTGTCCACGGCCCTGGCAGACTGGACTGCGGCTCCAGCTACGGCCGGCATCTTCCTTCGTGTCTTCTGGAGGCCTGGCTCGGGGCAGGGCCCACGGGAGGTGTCTGCTCTGCCCTGGCGGGCGGGCTGACTCATGTCCAACTCAGGCTGAGCGGCTTCCCAGGAAGGGCACCAGCAGGTGGCCAGGCACCTGTCGCCTGCCCAAGTTTATCCATAAAACTGAGCTCCGCTTGACTGGGAGCCCGGAGCTGCGAAGTGACAGCCCACGGTCTTCCATGACATTTTCTGTTTGGCCAGCACAGTTTTGGGTTTTGTTGTGAGATCTCATTTGTCTTTAAGGCGGCCACAACCCCCCCGGCTCCCTACGGCGTAACCGCCTGGCAGCCTCCCAGCCCCTGGCCACACTCGCCAGCGCGGAAGCTCAGTGAGCCGGGGGGCTGGCTGGGGCTCCAAGCGCCGTGGCCGGCACATAGCGGCTGCTCCGTCAGTGCCCAACGGGGACCGGGTGCCCAGGGGCAGCCAAACAGAGAGGGACAAATAATACAGGCCACTGGAATCCAGGGCCAACGGCCTCATCTCGCTCCTTCCGACTGCTTCTGTCCTCAGTACTCCTGCCCCTGTACTAGCAGGCACCACCTACAGGCCCCCGAATCTCCTCATCCTTCCTCCCCGAACACGGCCCAATGACGTGGTCAAAGCTGGCCTTCCTCTCTAACGGCTGAGAGCTGACTGTGAAGTCAGGACACCTGGATTCCAGGCCTGGCTCCGTCACTGGCGGCCCCGGGACCCGGAGGAAAGCGCCTCACTTCTACTTCTTCTGCAGCAAAGTAAGAGCCTGGTTTGGCCCTGTGGTCCTGCAGACCACAGCTCTGCCTAGCTCCCCAGGGAGCTGAGCTCTGAGGCTCCTACCAGACTCTCCCCGACCACCCCGAGAGCTGCTTCAGGTAAAGAGCAGGCAGGTCAATGGAAAGGCACCAAGACCTGGGGCGACTCCGCTGCCACCTGCCCGCGGCACCCACAACCTCAGGGCCCCACCTGCGGGGGCAGGTGCCAGCAGGAGCCGGTGGGCATGTACCCCTCTGACCTGGGGGGCACGCAGGTATTGCATGGGGCCTTGTGATTCAGCTGCCCCAGGCCTCCGTGTCCTTCCCAGCAAGGAGGGGGGTGTCCATCGTGCAGCGACCTCACAGGGGGCTCTGAAGGTGGCCGAAGATGTGGGTACGAGGGCTTGGCTCAGCGCCTGGCATGCCTCGTGCATGGTGGCAGCCTAATCAGCGGTGGTTCAGGGAAGCAAGGCAGCAATGGTGAGTCTGTCTCACTCACTTCAACCCAGCTCACGGAAGCCCCGCTCAGGCGCAGCCTATCAGAAGCCCCCAGGACGTTCTTCAGACTACACATGTCCAGCCTTCAACCCAGACTTTCAGGTCAGAATCTCTGGGGAGGAGACCTAGAGAATCCGCATTTTTAACCAGCTCGGCAGCCAAGCCCAGAGCTGGAGGGTAGGGGCACCGACAGATGCGATGGGCCACAGCCGTCCCTCCCGCCGCCCGTCCCGGGGGCACCCACCCATGTCCGTGGCCAGCTGCTTGGTGGAGTGCAGCGTCAGCTCAGGGATCTGCAGGATCACGTCACAGTAGGTCTGCATCGTGGCTCTGGCAATGGAGCCCAGCCAGTTGTCAGCCATGTTGTCCAGCTCGGGCAATTCGTCCCCTGGGAAGGGAGAGAAGGTCACCAGAGACAACGAACGCACTCGAGAAGATCCCACCTCCAGCAGCTTTTGCCCTCCAGGCGGCCAGGCCCACGATGGGCGGTGCCGTATGTCCACACACGCCAGGGGGCCACCATCCCGGTGGGCAACACAGGGACAGAGAACAATACGTCTTAGGCCAAGTGGTATCGACGGAGTATGATGACGATTCAGGAAAGGACGCGGTCAGGTGAGGGAGAGTGATCTCTGCGTGCCCGAAGGTGGGGGACGTGGTGCAGCCACGCAGGCCGGGAGGGAGGACAGGAGGGGGGCCCTGGGAGGGGCAGGCAGCCGACGCCAGCAGAGACGGCAACGGTCGACACACAGGCAGCACGTCAGAAGTGAGACCTGGACAGGGCCATCCACCACGGACGAGCTGGGTGCTACCCGGCCTCTCAGAGGCTGACTCTGAGGGGCTGTGGCGGGAACCACGGGAGGCCTCGGCCCGGGCCTCAAGCATGAAGCGTGTGACACACTCTAGTGCTTCACACACGGTGACTCTCAGTGTCACATCACCTGTGGGGAAGGAGGAGTATGTATACCAAGCAGGGCTGGGGGAACAGGGCTGGGTCGCGGAGGGCGCCCTGAGAGTCACAGGGACCCCATGTCAGAGCAAACAGGCAATGACTATAGGTCTCCAGCAAGGTTGCAAGAGCCAGTCAGGCTGGGGCGGGCTGATGCAGGAGGACGGAGCCGTCATCCTGGCCAGACAGGCCTTGAACTCTGGGGGCAAGGGGGCCGCCTGACGTTAAAACAACAAAAAAAGTAGGGGGACGAGTGGAGAAAAAGAATCCACTTAGGGGAAGATAAGCAAAATGCCACTATACCACCACCACCACCAGTAACAATAATAATAATAGTATAGAACATAAAGCTACACGTCAAATACCATCTGCACATGGGAAAATGTAAATACCATCGTGTTCAATGATGGGATGTCATGATTTATTCTTTTTAAAATTGTGACCTTGTTTTACATGTGGTATCGGTACAACAAACACAAACTAGAAAGTTAAAAACCAAAAACAGGATGAACATAACTGAGCACAAGGCTAAGAACACATGGTCTAGGGCCTCCACCCTGGAAACGGAGGCTGGCCCGGTGGTCGTGTGGCCAGAAACACGGCCAGGCAGGGCAGCTGGTCCGGGGAATAAACCTTCCCCAAGACGTTGGCCCAGAAAAGGATGAACCTACCAGGCCTGGGGCAGCACTGCGGGGTGGGGGACGAGGCGCCCATGCAGGGACTGAGGGTGGCGGGCACTCGCTTACTTGCTAACCACATGAGTCCCGTCCAAGACCCTGCCAGGTCCGCGCCGCCCCAGTCTGGGAGGCCCTGCCCCGACGGCACCCTCCGGCCGGGGGGGCAGACAAGGCCCCTCCACATAGCCACATCAGGGCTGCAGCCAGGGCATCGCCAAAGACTGATAGGAGCCCAGAAATGGGAGCTCATACCCAGGCTTCCCGAGCACGGGGGACGGTTTGTCGGATGCACAGGAGGAGAAAGGGCAGTCCGGGCAGACAGCACAAACACTGGTTTACAAAAGCGCCCAGGAGAAACAGGGCATGTGGGAGACGGTCCTGCTGCTGACTTACGTGTGCACACAGATCTGCAGAAAGAGGCGCCCCGGACAATCGTCCCTCAGGTGCTAGTGGGACTCTTGGGGCAGATTTTTACTCAGAAAAGTTCTTAATTTTTAAAAATTAAGAAGAAAATCCTTCTGAGTGGCTGGAGTGTGAGCACGTGGGGGCAGGAGATGGGCTGCATGCCCTGACTGGGTGGGATTGAGAAGGGTTTCCAACCCCAGGCCTGCGAGGGGCTGGATCTCACCCCATAGGTTCCAGAGGCCCTGGGGGTTTTTAAGCAGGCCAGGAATAATTAGTCTGAGGGCAAGGACAAGCAACAAGAGATGGGAACAAAATATACAAAATGCAGCAGAGAAAAGAAATCTCAGGAAGGAGGGGTGTTAAAAAGCCAGGCCAATGAAGTATTGGGCTCAGCTTTTGCATCTGATGGCAGGAATGGTCTGGGCCTGACCTTCCTAGGCCTCCCCCCAGGGCCACTCTGTGCCAGGGCCCACCAGGCTGCCCCCTCTGCCTGTAACCCCCGCCACAGAGAAGGGAGCCTCCACAGGGCCCCTGCACCACACCGAGGCAGCACCCCTGCCCTGCGCCCAGCAGGTGCTGGCCGCCTCCAGGGGACCCCGCCCCACTGCGGCCCAAACTCAGCACCCCCACCGGGGGAGGGGACGTGGTGGGCACAGAGATTGCAGTTTTCCTGCAAATGCCCCTGCTATGACACACGCTGTGTGGGTGACCTCTGGACACATCACTTCAAAGTTCCTGATGTTCCATTTCCTTGTGGGAAAAAGACTCGCAAAGATTTTCAAAACTCCCTTCTAACCACACTGCTTAGGAAAAGCCATTTATCTAAGCCCCAAAGTTCCTACCAGTTGCTCTCCAACTAGTTCTTAAAACGTGCAAATGTTGGGCGCCTGGGTGGCTCAGTTGGTTGGGCGACTGCCTTCGGCTCAGGTCATGATCCTGGAGTCCCTGGATCGAGTCCCGCATCGAGTCCCGCATCGGGCTCCCTGCTCGGCAGGGAGTCTGCTTCTCCCTCTGACCCTCCCCCCTCTCATGTGCTTGCTTTCTCTCATTCTCTCTCTCTCAAATAAATAAATAAATAAAATCTTTAAAAAAAAAAAAAACGTGCAAATGTTAACATGTTAGAAATCCCCTGGGTAATTCTTCCCAGTTTTCTGCATGTTTGAAATTTTTCATAATATGCTGCTGAAAAGGAGGGGGTAAAAAAAAAAAAAAAAAAGGAAACACTTGGATGGGCTTGTTGTTGTTTTCCATCGCTGTTACAATTCTACTTTATGGCTGGAGTTTTTCTCTCCTAACAATGCCCAAAGCAATGGAGTAAGCAATTAATAACACGTTGGTAAGTGAATGAATGACTGAAAACAATTGCAGTTTAGCTAAACCTGTATGTATTTTTTTTGCAGTGGGACAATAAGGCTTTACACTCTCCCTGGTGTGCTGTAACAGACACAGACATAGCACCACTGCTTTCTTGCCCAAGAGTTTGAACTTGAACGTAATCGGCATCAGTAAGAGATACATGATGGTGGGGTGCCTGGGTGGCTCAGTCGGTTGGGTGTCCGACTCTTGTTGGATACGTGATGGTGTATTTATGCGTGGAAAAATACAATGCCTGGGATTTGACTTAAGTATTCTTGAAAAAAATATGAGACAAACATAAGAAACAAGAAGCCATTCTGGAGGCCAGACGAGGAGTACTTGGGACTCCACCGTACTGGTCTCACACCCCGCATGACAGGCTTGTGTGTGTGCGCATGTGCGTCAAACGCCAAAAATCCAAACTGTATAATTTAAACTGCTTTCTTCTATGCTTGCCAATATTAAGTGTTAACACACATATATGTGTATATATGTAAATCTGTATATATTTTTGATATAGTCAATGTGATAGGTTATAAAATGGCATACATTCAGGGCGCCTGGGTGGCTCAGTCAGTTAAGAGTCCGACTCTTGATCTCAGTTCAGGTCTTGATCTCAGGGTCGTGAGTTCAAGCCCTGCACTGGGCTCCACACTGGGCATGGAGCTACTTAAAAAAAAAAAAAGCATACGCTACTTTCCTTTGCAGCCATTTGAGGATTACTAAAGTTACATATTTCTTCCTATTTTTAGGTTATTTGAATGCCTTTATGTTATTACTTAATTTTCCACGGGGTGTCATCTTTTTCTTACTGATTTGTGGTAACTTTTATAAAACAACTACCACCTATCAGCAGTGTTGCTATTTTGTTCCAGCCTGTCACATTCATCTTTCAATTTCCTTTAGTTTCTGGCTTTCATTTCAAAGAGTCTTCCCTTCCCTACCCCTGAGTGCCTATTCACTCATACTGCAGGTTTTACATGCTGAAAGTGAAATTTGTATAGAATTATCCTTTTTTCCAAAAATTATGAGTTCCCTTAGTGTGTATGACCCTGTGAAACTCACAGAGATTTTATTTGTATCATCTTCACAAATGATTTATGGAAATTTGACAACCATGCCTATTCTCTGTGGGATAAAAAACCCAATGTATTGATTCGATCAAGTGTGTTGATTACACTGAACAATTCCTCTTTTATCTTCATTAATTTTCCTTTTTGAGAGGCACCTGGGTGGCTCAGTCATTAAGCGTCTGCCTTTGGCTCAGGTCATGATCCCAGGGTCCTGGGATAGAGCCCTACATCAAGCTCCCTGCTCACCAGGAAGCCTGCTTCTTCCTCTCCCACTCCCCCTGCTTATGTTCCTTCTCTCACTGTGTCTCTCTCTGTCAAATAAATGAATAAAACCGTAAAAAAAAACCCAAAACTTTTCCTTTTTGATTTGTCAAAGCCTGAAAGAGAGGTGCACGATGTTCTCAATGCTCATGTGGTTTTTTCTTTCAAAATTATAAAATTTTAGGATTACACCACCAGTTTAATGGGATAGGATAACCAAGCTGGCATAAAATATATCAATAAATCACTTTCCTTTTGTGTAATTTCCATATTCAGTTTTGTTTAATTTTCCATATTTCAATTTATTTTAATTAATTTCAATTTTTATAGTTAATATAATTTGCTAATAAAAACTTTTTTCATGGGGCGCCCGGGTGGCTCAGTTTTAAGCGACTGCCTTCGGCTCAGGTCATGATCCTGGAGTCCCAGGATCGAGTCCCGCATCGGGCTCCCTGCTCGGCAGGGAGTCTGCTTCTCCCTCTGCCCCTCCCCCCTCTCATGTGCTCTCTCTCATTCTCTCTCTCTGAAATAAATAAATAAAATCTTTAAAAAAAAAAAAACTTTTGTCATATGGACAACATAACCAATAAAACGTAATATATACCTAAATATAAAATTGATTTTTATTTTACATTTAAAAACAAAAGCAGTAGTTCAGCTTTAATTACAACTTGGATTTCAAATGCTTATCAAATGTACTAAAATATGTTTGGATGATCTAGCCAAAAAAAAAAAAATTTTTCTTATTCTATGTCTGGCAGCTCCTTGCTCTCACCCCTCAGTGCTGTGCTATCTGACTTGTAAATGTACCTGACTGTCACAGGCTCACTGTGGGATCTGCCTTTTATCAGTGTAACGGGTCACTTTGGTCCCATTTGTTATTGTTTGCTCTGATTCAACATCACTGCCTTGCTTTCTTTTTATTTGCATTTACATGGGATGCCTTTTAGCATCCCTTTATTTTTAACTTTTCGATGTGATTTTATTCTCAGGGTGGTACCTTCTCATAAGCTGCTGAAATCTTTTCTATACCACGTGAATATTCTGTTTCCTCAGCCTTACGAAGGGAGGCCTATAAATATCCCATATTAGGAATAAGAGAATTTTTTATCAGAAAGTATGTGGTCCCTGTTCAAACCTGTCAGTGCTCAGATAATGGGAAAAAGAAATAGTTTTAATTACTGTATTTTCACCTTGTCAGTTTAGAGATCCAGGAGCCTTGCGAGAGCTGGGAACAAGTTCTGGCCAAAGGCATCTGGGCAGGAAACATCACTTCTACGGTGAGGAGTTTATGTTTGTCCGAACGAGCAAAACTATTCTTAAGGTGCCACTTTACTCGGCACGTGGTCCATAGGGAGAGGGCTCGCACTGGCCAAGTGGGACCCTTGCCCCAAGAGCTCGCTTCCACCTCCAGTGAGTACGTGTAACCTGGGGCCCTCCTGCCCCTGCCTTCCCAGCTGAGGGGCATCGGTGGAGTTCGTCCCCAGAGACGCTCTGCACACAGTGAGACATCCCTTCCCTAAGCCACTCTGTCCTGTAGAAGTTCCCCAGGGGGATAACAGGTGGAACCCCATGTTTGCAGGAGGCTACAGGGAACCCGCCTCCTGGCTCTCAGTCAGGCCCCTCTCACCTTGCTCAGGAGGAAAGGGCAGCTTCCCAGCGTGCAGGGCCAGCTCCAAGGCAGAGTCCTCCTGAGTCACAAAAGGCTCAAGATTCAGGGGGAGGGACATGATATATTGCCCGATCTGAAACAGAAGAAAACACTTTCAACTCCACATTGCCACATACAGGTCATTATTTCTGCAGTACATTCGCGTGAAGGCAAACAGGGGACAGACAAAAAAAGCACGAGGCCTGGGGCAGCCCCAACTCTGATCTTTCCAGAGAGTGTTAATACTGCTATGACAGGACCTTACAAAAATCAATGACAATTTGCATGTACATCACACATTCATCCTCACACTAACGGCCCCACTATGCTTGGAATGCACTCAATGCAACCTCTACCTCAAATGAGGTAATGGACACCAACAAGCGATTGTGCAAATAAATACAAATTAGGACTATTCATGGATGCAAAACCAGGAAGATGCTAATGTCAACAGGTGCACAGCCAAGCAAGAATCCGAATCCTGTCTTCTGGACTTGACTGTGGGTCTCGCCTTTAGAAGTGATCTAAGAGAAGGAAGGAAATTTTGGGGGGAAAAAGCCATTTATAATTATAAATTAATTTGGAGGGAAAACTGTACTGTTTTCATAATACAGACTCTAGAAATAAAGATGAAACCAACGCCTTCTTGGCTGGTGGGGAATTGCAAAAGACAGGATTACAAGACATTTGGGATGAGCCCACAAATAATACAATGTTTGTCATGTGTTTGTTGGATGCACATGACTGTCATTATGGGTGTATTTTAGATGCCACTTTCTATTAAAATTCCTGTTTTGTGTTTTAAGGTAAGTATATATTTTTGTTTCAAAATAAGGCTGATTTTCAGGTTATGACAACATACCGCTTTTGTTTTTGTTTTTAAAAAAAAAAAGGCCTGGGGGTGGGAGGATGGGTTAGCCTGGTGGTGGGTATTGAGGAGGGCACATTCTGCATGGAGCACTGGGTGTTATGCACAAACAATGAATCATGGAACACTTTATCTAAAACTAATGATGTAATGTATGGGGATTAACATAAGAATAAAAAAAAAAGGCCTTTGAACCTGTTGCTTTTTTTTGGGGGGGGGGTTCTATATTTATTCTGTACATTTAAACTTGATTCTGATTCTGTAAACTACAATTCCAAGGATTATCCAAGTAAGATCTTCCCTCTTGGCCTCACACACACCTACATGGTGGCAGACTCGCAAAGTCTCCCAGCCCAAAGGGAGATTCCGAACATTTCCAAACACCGAGTGTGGGCTGGTTGTACTTAAGGCTCAACATCCCCTGGTCCATTATGCTAATGAAACAGGGTGAGTTTGCTCTCCCTTTAAGGAGGCACATGGATGGTAAAATAAATTAAATCGGCATTTTTTTCTTTGCATTTACTTAGTATAATCTCTTACTCAAACTAGGTATGTGGGCCACTTTCCTCACTAGTAACAACCGCCACCATACACTTCAGCTTGAAAATGGCAACAAATGCATCATTTTTCCACAAGGCTGGAGGAAGAGAAGGATGCTGGTTTCTGGATTTGGGATCTCTCTGGTCTAATTACATGTGGCAGGCGCTTCCTGAATACCTACTATGTGCAAGGACCCTGGGGGATACTCCTGTGTTTGGTACAGCTTTCATCTGGGGCCATAACCTTCTGGCTAAATGCACGCACCCAGTTTTACGGGCAATGAAGTGTCAGAATCATTATACCTTGCATCTACGTTGTTTTTCATTTTTAAAAGCATTTTCTCCTATTGCGCCCCTCCATAATGCCCATGTGGCTCCGGGTAAGTTCAGAAGGCATTCATTGATGAGGCAAAGTGTCGTTTAGGTGCAAAATTTCAATAATCTGACATCTTGAACTTCAACTGGTGGGTTGAGCTTGGGGATTGCTGTGGTTCCTAGACAGATCCCACGACTCCAGATCTCCCTCGGGAGTTCTGTCCATGTTCATCTTTCAGCAATCAATGTGGAAAGGGATGCTTACCAGTGCGCCTGAGGATATTTGTCTACTATTCCCACATTTTCAATAAATACTCCTTGATATCCAGTTTGGGTACGCTCAGTGACACAGGAAAAACGAAGAGCTTTGTGGTCAGATGGACTTGGGTTTGAGTTCTGGCTCTACTGCTGTGTGACCTTCCTGGTGTCATCATCTCTGACAGGAGGATGATCTCATACTTACTTCAAAGGGCTGTGCCAAGGATGAAATTAATGTGTGATACACGCATGAAGCGCCTGGTGTCCTAACAGAGCGGCCGAGGGATAAGCGGCCCCTCTTGCACTGCCTAGAGCCTCACTGCTTGCCCGTGAAACACTACCGCCAACCAGCTCACGTTGTTGTCAAGACAAAATTCTGTGTAGACCATGCGCTACCTCATGGCACTGATAAAAGCCTCGCACTGTCCTTACACACAGTGTGTGTCCGGTAAGTGCTCATTTCCTGAGTTCAGGTCATCAGCCCCCAGGTACAATCCTTAACTCATGGGGGGGGTCACAGCAGGTGGAAAAAGGCCCTGGCCTGGAAACAAATCCGGGCCTCCCCTACTCCGCCAACATCTCAATTTCCTCAACTGTAAAATCATTCAATACCTCCCCAGTCCCTTCCAGCAACATCATTTCCTCAATCCATTTACACTGTAACGCATAGTGTCTTAGTTCTAAAAATAAGATGATTCCCATTCGTTGTAAGAACCAACCCATATCTTAATAGTTTCATCAGTACCGGTTTATAAGGTAACGCCCTGGGAGACAGGAGGAAAGTGATTACCATTTTGAACTCGACACGGCTCCCAATGAACAGAGAGAACAATGCCATCCTCCATGCGACCGCCAATGGGATCACCAGACACTTCTGATTGTACAATAGTAACTTTTAGAATTTCTTTGTATCTCTTACAGTAGAGTCATAACTTACAAAGCAGTGGATTCTAAAGTGACAGCCTTAGGCAGAAGAAATTGCTTAACTCAGAATCGCTCTGGAGAACGTCAGAAGTCTCCAGCAGTGTGAGGTCCCCGTGGCTGGAGTACACTACCACCCCCTGGTATTGAAGAGCAGCCAAGCTAGACTGCAGGAAGGAGCGAAAGGCAAGGCCACGTGCAGGGGGGCTGTCCATTCCCAGGGGTGAACCGAGAAGGAGGAAAGGACTCCAAGTGCCCTGCTCCCCTGCAGGGTTTATTCTGTTCTTTGTTAATATGGAGCCTCCAGAACGACAATTCTTAAGAGATTTCTTTCCTGCTGTGAAATTACCCGTGAAAGCACTCCACACAGGGCCTGCAAAGCAGGTGTCACTAAAAACATTGGCTGAATTTGAATTCAGAACTACATACACACTGTTCCTCTGAAAAGTCGTCGAGAAGAATTTGCCCACCTGCGTCCTCTCCTCCCAAGGCAGAATCTCCTATGTGCACTCACACTGGGACGCCCTTACGTACCGGCCACACCTCACATCGGGAGAGAGGGAGGAGGGGTACGAGCGTGTGAGGTTTTGAAATCAGCTTGTGTCTTGTCAGCTGATTGAATAAGGAAGTCAGCTGCCTTTCCTTAAAGTCCTGGATATGGAAGGAAATTACCCAAAAGCAAAGGTTCAGACAGCACCAACGCACTAATGACTACTTTCCCCGAAGGGCCAGAATCCAAAGACAAGGCAGGGTCCGCAAGGCTACAAGTGCCCCGGAGGAAAGTGCCCAGAAGCTCTTACGTTGCTGATGTACTCCAGAGGCGTGAGGCTGAAGGTGGGCAGGTCGTCGGTCAGCGTCTCACCAATGCCTGCTGTGCCCCAGCTCTAGGGCAGGAAGGAGAGAAAGCGATCAAGGTCACGGAAGCCAGGAGGCCCGGGAAAGCACCCCACGCCCGAAAATCCTCGAAGAGTGCAGCCTTCCTAGAGGTGTCTTTGCTCAGAGACGGCCTTGGGAATTGTCACTATTCGACAGACCAGGGATTTCTCACCAAGTCATCACCCTGAAGCCTGCCACCGAGAAAATAATCCTTTCTCTCTCCGCATTCCCGCAGACCCATCAAACGGGAGCTCCTGCCTTCTCAACAGAACTATCTGGTGAGAACGGATCCCGTTTGTTGCTCCCACTCAGACCGTGAAGCGAAGAGCTGGATACCCTGTGGTCTGAGTTTCTCTACTCGGGCGGACACGGGTTAAGAGCTGCTGGGCGCAGCTAGCCTCACTAACTCCTGGGTCTTCAGCACTCTAAAGAGACTAGGAGCGCCTCAAATCCTCCAGAGACCCCATGTAAATCCCTATCTTGGGAGGGAGGCCTGGGAAGCCCCTTCTGGCTGCAGAAATGTCCAAACCACATTCACCCACACTACTTCACTGCTTTTATTTCCACCTGCCTCCTAGATCTATTTCTCAACTGATTCAGACCTCAGAGGGAAAGGGATGGGAAGGAACGTCCAAACCCCACCAGCTGCCCCTTTGTCCTCTTTGTGATCCCTCTGTCTGGGGAGATGCTCTTCCTTCCGACATTTAAAATACCGAATGTCTACGGTATCTCTGTGTGAGCTTTCCCAGTGGTCTCTCTAGAGTCCAGTAAATTACCAGCACATACATGGTTACGGAGTTCAGCTTGGCACACCTTCACACAGAAATCTAGTTTCTTAATTCCAACCTGAGTCACCCCAAAGCCAGCCTAGAAAACAGCCCTTTCTGGCTGCACTCCTGGAGTGACTCCCAGGTCACGCTGTAGCTGCTCTCTGCAGCTACCTGATGCCATCGGGTTGCTTGATCCTTTAAGCAACGTTCCGGGAATGTAATGACCACGTCCACCCCTGGGCTCCCAGCCTAGCCTAAGCCTCAGCTGCCCTCCCCACATTCCCCAGCACCAGCTCAATTCTAATTTTCTTTGCTTGAGACAAGTTCTTTCCTTCCCCACCTCCACCCTTAGTTCTAAACTCCTTGTTCTTGCTCGAGAATCCTCCTCTGTTTCAAAATAGCCTACTTTTCATCAGTTGACTCCCACCCCATGGAGAAGAAACACTGTGATCACCCACACGTACTGAGTGCCCATGATGTGCAGAGCCTTGTGCCCCGCTTGGTGGAGAGGAGACAAAGAAATATAAGACTTGGTTCTTGCTCTCCAGAAGCTCCTTGGGAAACCAAGACCCCGCAACACACTCCCGTTATATACCCCAACACGTTCACCGCCCCGTGCACACACACAGGCTTCCACTTAGGAGTTCTCCGTGGCAGAGGCAAGGTGTGATACTGTAAGAGTTCAGAGGAGCGAGGGCTCAGGGTGATTACAGGAGGAGTGGGCTGCAGGATGCCTGGGGTGCCGAGAGGGAAGACCAGAAGGAGAATGCATAGCTCTCAGAGAGCGGGCTAAGAAAGGGCTTTATTTTCTACAAATAAATTGCAAGAGAGTGAGAGAGAGGAGGGGAGGGGAGGAAGGGAGGGAGAGGGAAGGAGGGGAACGGAAAGGTAACCTGTAGCTCATAAAAGACACATGGACCAATCCCTACGTGCAGAACGAACCTGGGTCCTGAGTCAAACAGTGAAATCATGACTTTTACGACAACTGAAAATGTGAACACTGAATGGTATTAAGGAATCATTGCTACCTGAGGGGTGATTTGGGTCCTACGATTATTTTTAGTGTTGTTATACTTTAGAGAAGGGATGTATATACGAGACAGACGACCAGGAGCTGATCATGTCGAAGAGGGGTGATGGAGACATGGGGGTCGTTATACTCTTCTCCCCGCTCTTGTATATGTGCGAAAACTTCCCTAATAAAGTTCTGAAAGACAGACTATTCTCCTGGGCCTTGGGAGCCAGGCAAGGGTCCTGAGTGGTGGAGACAAAATCAGAGTGGTGCTTTATGAAGACTGACGCAGCAACTCGGGAGGATTGAGGGTGGGGAGGCATGTAAAAAGCTGAAGGAACCGCTGGGAGAGGAGGAGAAGCCCAATGAGGACGGGGCCATGGAAACGGACGGGAGATCTCTTTAAAACGAAGGGACAATGCCACTTGGTGGTGAAGTCATTGGCAAAGAGAGCTGTGGTGAGGGGGCAGAGACGAGAAGGCCAGGAGGCAGAGGGGTGGAAGAGGGATGGAGCCCGTGAGGACGGGAGCGACACCTCAGGGCTGGGCTGCAGGGAAAGAGCCATGTCCCCCAAGCACACGCAGGGGACAAGCACTGCAGGCCGGCAGCCCCGGGAAGGCTCCATGGGGAGGCAGGAGAATGGCCAGGCAGAGGGCGGAGGGGGAGAGCAGCCACAGTGGAAGGGGGTTTGCAAGAAGGGCGGGTGGACAGGGGACGAACTAGGGAGGCGCTCTGCAAGTAGGGCGACCGGGAAATGCTGCAGGGTATCTTTTAATTGTTCAAAATTTATTGAAAAGTTCCTTCATATGGGCTTTTCTCTCCCATCTGTCAACAGATGATGTGGGCAAAAGTCAACAGTCGATTCTGAAATGGAATATAGTGTTGGTTTATATTCTTCAAATGTGAAAGGGTAATACAATTTACTGGCAAACATTAAAAGCAAACACTGAATGACCAGGGTTTAATTTTCAAATCCTTAGGGCCAAAGTGTTTGCCTTTGTGTTGTGTGCTTTCCTCCTGGCAACTCTGGGAGAGCTCCTCCTAATCTCTGAGCTGCCTGTCTCCATTCCCAGGGCCCCGTGGGGTGTTGCAGCGCAGCCTGAGTGAGGAGGCAAGATTCAAGCAACCAAGAGCCCAACCACAGAGTGAGGCGGTGGGTGAGCAGTGGGAAGAGCTGAGCTTCCAGACAGAAGGTCAAGATGTTAGGATCTGGGGTGTGGGGATGGGTGACACAGGTGACGGGGATCAAGAGCACACGTTTCGTGAGGAGCACTGAGTCGGGGACACAGTTGTTAAATCCCTATATTGTACATCTGACACTCACATAACACTGTATGTTAATTACACTGGACTAAAAAAGAGGTAAAAGAAAAAAAAAAAGGGTGCCTGGGTGGCTCAGTGGCCTTCAGCTCAGGTCATGATCCTGGAGTCCCTGGATCGGGTCCCGCATCGGGCTCCCTGCTTGGCGGGGAGTCTGCTTCTCCCTCTGGCCCTCCCCCCTCTCATGTGCTCTCTCTCATTCTCTCTCTCAAATAAATAAATAAAATCTTAAAAAAAAAAAAAGGAAAAAAGATCCTGGTTCTTAACATTCCCATGAATCACTTGTTTTATCCTACAATACACATGAAATCGTTTCTAAACAACTACAATGACATTACTACTAGCAATAAAATGACTGGATGAAGTTAAAAAAAATTTTTTTAAGCTCTAAGAAAAATAAAGCAACCAGCTCTGGGGGTTGGGGACGGGAAGTATAAAGAATGCTAATCCCCTCATCTTTCAGAACAGCTCCAGCAGTACCAGCAGCTACGGAAAACAGAAGGGTGACTAACCAAAAACAATGACCCTGGCCTCTTAACGGTTTTCATAATCCTTTTTGTGCAACTTTGGAGAGATCTTCTGGGCGCTGATCCCTTTGAGGGGGAGAACCTATTATCTCAGGTTCCACGATTCCTTTCATTTCACTTCCTTTCTCCCTCTTCTACTCAAGTTCAAATAAATGTTATATTGTGTACATTTTGGTTTTTAAAAAAATAGCACGTGTAGTCCAGTTCCATTTCCTCTACGGATCTATCTACCCATTGGTGCCCATCCAGCCTCCGACGTGGGCAGGAAGAGGTGTCTGGGGGATGAGCACCACGTGTTCGTGCGGATCTCTATGTTGTGGGATTCTGAAGGGAGTTATTGCTGTTTTCATTGTACTATCCTGTACTGCCTGAATTTCTGAAAATGAGTATGTGCAATTTTTACTTTAAAAAACTGTCATTCCTCTTTAAAAATGAGCACTCATTAAGCATCTTACTCTGTGGCAGCTAAGTTCTATCATCTTCGAAATGTCATGTAATCCTCATACACATGCATGGTCAGAATCAGTGTGTCCCCATCTAATGAGATGAGGCTTACGTGGGAAGCTGATCCGATGGCACCATGCCAGGGATATCCCTTTTGCCACACTATGACAGGGGCGGCTCTCCTCCAGTCTCAACCCCCTCCTCCACTGCCCCCCCCCACCAGAAACACAGAATCTGACTGCGGTGGATCCCAAGGCATTCTGCGGGAAAATCATAAAGAATGAAAATCATGGAATTTCAGGGGTAGAAAGAACTTTGAAATCATGTAGTCCAACCCCATTGTTTCATGGATGGGGGTTCTGAGATCCAGAGAAATCCACAGACTCCACCCAGGTCATACAGTGAAGAAGTGAGTGGCCCTTGAGCCCTGGTCTTGTATGCTTCCAGAAGGCAGCAGGAAGCAAAGAACTTGTAATCATGCCTAAAGGGTTCTTGTTGCCTCCTAAAAGGATCTCCTGGTTATTAAAGACCCATAACTGGATCTTTCTCAAAATCCTATCCCAGAGATCCAAATGGCAGTGAAGAGACCAGAGCCACGGAAGTCAGAGCAGGTAGAGAAGCGACTGATGGGTAATCCCTTGAAAGGAGTCAGGACAAGCAGAAAAGGGTGAAAGGTGAGGGAAGGGAGGTGCTCCGGGAATAGCCATAGAAAAAAGGCATCAAGGACAGAAAACAGCAGAACCCCTTAAACCCCCGTCAAAATCACCAGGTCAGATCTGGTAAGGCACTCTCCTGGGTGAAGTTCCAGAACCAATGCTTATGAAAAGAATGCGATCTCCCGGGACAATTAGCTCCTCTGACCTGCCCCAACCTATCCAGTGGCACATAATCTCCCTCACTTCTCCCTGAGAGGGCACAGCTACACTGCTCCGAATGGTGAAAGTTAATCAAGCAATAATAATAATCCCAGGAAACAAGATGAAAATAAGGCATCACGGTGACTCCAATTAAGATAAGAAATTCTTGCTAAGCAGTGAGTTGCAAGGGAACAGTGAGTCTGTACAGTGAGACTTTTAGCCAGGAGAGTTAGAGTGCTTCCTCCTAAAGCTCCTGGGGGTTGGGAGGCCGGGGCAGGGGGCGGTGCCCAATACTCAAAAGTGCCCGGGGAAGGAGGCAGCACCCAGGGGGATGTCTGCGGTTGTGGGAAACTCACATCCATCTTGGAAACGAGTAGCAGCTGCTGTTTGATGCGCAGGAAAACGGAATCGAAAGCCAGCTGGTGGGCCTGCTGATTAAGCCGAGTCAGGGCCATACGAGACGCAGACAGCAGGTTGTAATTACTTGACCCTTTTTCCTAAGACGAAAAAATGCAAAAGGCTGTGAGGGTCTGGTTTTAACCAAGGTTATCAGCTCGTTCAACATTTTAAAAAGTGCTTGAGAGGAAGACAGTGAGGGGGTGGGTCCATACAGTCATGGTTCCCAAGGCCGGCTGTGCCCTGGCACCCCCTGCGGAACATGCTGGATTACAGGTGCACATGCCCCGCCTCGGAGCCACTGAATCAGAGTCCAGCAGGGTTCTGGAGCCCAGGGAGCAATGTTTTTAACTCACTTTTTCATGTAATTCTGACGCAACTGCTAACACAAGCTCATGGACTGGCCGTTTAGGAAAAATTAACTGATGACTGTCCCTCAGGGATAGAGTCAGAGGGAGAAAATGATCAGAAGTGTCAGGTATAAACAAGAGTGAGGGGCAGGAGCCTGATTCCCAGTGAGGTCAGCTCAGTTACACTTGGCTGTACAGCAGACTACGCACTACCTGTATGAGTCCCAAGGAATTCTAAACAGCCTGAGAAAATACAGAGATGGAAAATGTAACCTTAGTTTTGCTATTATAAATGAAACGATTACAACAAACTAAACCAGATCAGCAATAAAGATAAACAGAGTTGCTTTAACCTAATCACGGAAGCATGGATGAATGAACCTGCACAACTGTTTTAAGAAGCGTTTGTCAAGCTCCAATGCAGCCAACTGGCAAGCCAAAGTGCACAGCGATGGGGAGACTGTGTGAGGGCAATGATGAAGCCTCAGACACGGCCAGAGGCTCATGGTGCAGTCACCCCCAGAGCTCGAGGCCCATCAGGACACCCTGAGATTGTATGTGGTGCCAAGGGAATGGCAATGCCTCCTCTGCCTATCACCAAGACAGGTGGGGGGATGGTTCTGGAAAGGATGCTACAGCCTTCTTAGGATCCTGGGGCCATTCGAGGGTTGCTGTGTGGTTCACTCAATGTGTTGGGAGGTTCTTCCATCCCTGGATCCCCCAAGGGGCACAAATCTCAAAGTCAAGGGCAGCATTGTGATAGGCATCCTAAGAGCTTAAGCTAAAGGGACAGCCAGAAGGGAACACTTATCCTCAGGTCCTCCTGCTGCCATGAGGAAGATCAATTTCCCCATGGCAGAGCTGGGGGCCTCCTTTGTGGGTTCTGCCCACTATTGGGCGGTCCACATTCTGGTCCCTTCTCTGCCATTCAGTAACCGGGGCCTATCCCTGCACTGGGGCCAGGGGCTACCCAGCCCCACCCATCCTGCTGGCAAATCTGACTCTGGAGGGACGTACAGCAAGCCCATCTGGCCACACATCTAAAGTCATGCTCTCCACACAGGCTCTACTGCCTTTTGTCAGTAATAAAGCTCCACTTCTCCAATGCCTACTCCTGTATGTCCATTTGTTCCCACCCAGTTTAGTTTATCAGCTCCTTAAAATGCAACATAAATGAGACCGAGAAGAGGCCGTGGGGTGCACTGCAGACTGCAGCCCACACTCAGAGCCAAAGAGCCTGGATCGGGGAAAGGGTGACAAGAATGCCATCAGTCTGGTCTCATACCTTGAGGGTATATAGTATTTCCATTAAACTGGCATATTCAGCAGGGTTCTCTTTCTGGAGATAATTATATTCTTGCCACGGGTTCTTGGCAGAGCTCTTCTTGTCTGTCAAGATGCTATCCTGAAACCCGGCCAGGCTCCGAGGGCTGTAGGAGTCAGAGAGGTACTTGCCGGCTGTCGATAAAATCCTGAAATGAAAGGGATGACCGTTAGGCCCCGAGCTATTGGTACGGAACTTTCCCCTGGGAGCAGTTTGCTCCTTCCTAAATCCCAGGATATCCTTACGAGGCAGACTGATTTCGGGTCCGCCTTCTAAGAAAAGGAAGACATCCTTCGTCGCTGAGGAACCAATTGGATCTCGGGTGCAAGAGAGACACCAGGTGTTTCTAGTTCCTATTTGATGCTCGGTCCGCCGGCATCTACCACCTTCCGAACACGACAGACCACCTACGCGGGGCAGTCATCAGTTGACTACGATCTGGGATACTGTGCATTTTCTGTGAGGCTCTTCCTGGCTCTGGGAGCATCACTGTGTGGAACGGAGCCAAGGGGAGCCACCAGCGCCTCAGCCACAGCGGCACAGACACGTCGGTGGCCGCAGAGCTGGCCCTGGGAGAGCGGTGGCAGCAGCTCGAAGCACGCCTCTGGCCACAGGACTCACTGTCACATCATACAACTGGGCCAGTGTGGGCTTCGCATTCACCCGCCCCATAAGGTTTACTTTTGTGGTTTAGGTGCCACAGAGAGATCTACTGAGAGAAGCAAGCACTGTCCCATTTCTCTGAGGAGGAGAAGTGCCTGGAGGAGGTTCTAGGTGACGACCAATGTCTAGGGCTTGAATCTTCTCTCTACAACAAGGACGGCCTTCCCTGATGGGTGCTGCAAGTCCTCTGCTGTTTTCCCTGAGCCCAGCTTGACCGTCCAGCGTACACACTTGAACGTGCACAGAACCATATGAACATAGGCAACCAGGAGGACAGACATTCTATTACATCCCTGACCCCTCCTTGACCATAACTTCTCATGAAAAAGAATCGCCTTGGACCTGGCAGCTTTTAGGCTGAACTCACTTTTTAAAAAAACAAGTCCAGTGAACTTGTCAAGGAATGCGTGTACCTGCAAACAAACGGTGGGGCCTCAGGAACCAGCGCCTCTGCCACTAAGTTATGGTTCTCCCTGGTGCTTACGCCTCCAGGTGACTTCGGCTGGGTCTTTTGTCTGCCAAACTGTGGCCTGTTCCTGCCACCACCCTTACTTGCAAGTCTTCACTATTTGTGAGAACCAAACAGGGTGCTCTTTCCCTCTGAATTCCTAGCACCGAGCACAGGGCCTGGCCCATGGCAGGTGACCCTGAGTTTGGCGAGCAGGAAGTTGGGAGCTGCCCTCTGGGAAATCAACTCCCCCTGGCAGGTCATGGCCATATGTACCTCCACTCGGTCAGCTAGGGGGAGACTGGCACCAGTCTGCCATCCGCGCTGAAGAAAAATAGGTATGTCAGAAATGTTTTAAGTATTAAAGATTACTGTTTGAAATGTCAGAATAGCGTGCTCTAAAATAGGAAACCAGGGCACCTGGGTGGCTCAGCTGGTTAAGTGTCTGCCTTCGGCTCAGGTCATGATCTCAGGGTCCTGGGATCAAGCCCCATGTCTGGGATTGAGCTTCTCCCTCTCCCCCCTGCTCATGCTCTCTCTCTCTCTAAGAAATAAAATCTTTAAAATAAGAACCAAATCTAAAAAAAAAAAAGTCGGAATAAATACAATTCCAACCCTAAGGAAAGAACAGTATCTTTTCCTCCCAGCCTCCTCTTCATTCAGACAGATACCATTAGATGAACTAATCATCAGACTCAGATCTCCTAGGATGTGTGTTTTCTAGTACTGTGAACGAAACCTTACTGAAATGAACACTTGGGTCGCCTGGGTGGCTCAGTCAGTTAAGCACCTGCCTTCGGCTCAGGTAATGATCCCAGGGTCCTGGGATCGAGCCCCGCGTCGGGCTCCCTGTTCAGCGGGGAGCCTGCTTCTCCCTCTCCCTCTGCCTGCCGCTCTGCCTACTTGCACTCTCTCTGTCAAGTAAATTAAAAAAAAAAAATTTTTTTTTGAAATGAACACTTTATTTCTTCTCACTCACAAAGAAACATCTTCTCTTCGCTAGAATGGACTGTAAGTAGGTCTTGGGGATGGCAGATAATTAAACAGTCCTCACCCTCAAGAAGCTCAGAGATTAACGGGGGAGTCCAACCTGCACCAACGTGCTAACGGCTGTGCGGGGAGACAGCACTAAGTACGCACAGAGGAGAGAGGAACTGATGTCACACTTCCATCTGCTTCCTCAACTCATCTCCTTTCACGGAGGGTTACCCAGTTCTTTACAAGCCATGGAAACTTGTAAATTTATATTGGATCCCCCAAACCTGATTTTCCCACTGAATTGTCTAAGACCTTATCCTGTGCCACACCACTGTGCCAAAAATCAGTGATGGGTGCTGTGAGAGTATAGAGGGGCCACGCCTATCTCCCTGTATCTCACCCGACTTGCCCAGTGCACCAGAAAGCCCTCCAGTGGCACTCAGCCCACCAGTCACAAAACGATCCCTTTCTGCAAGGAGGTGATCTTAAGAGCCCCAAAGCCAATGTCACTCATGTCGCTGAAGTAATCCGGAGTGTTCTGAGCTATTGCCTTTGCCACCTTGGCGGGGGGGGGGGGCGGTGTATGGTCCTTGGGCCAAGTCTGGGTTCTGCAGGGGAGACTGAGGGGAGATTGACAGGCAGGTAAGATAAGCTTTATAGGCAGATGCCACACCCGTGGCCTCCCGAATGGGAACACAGATGATGACTGTCTCTCTTTTCCCTTTCCAGGATCAGCGCTTCCAGAATGATGTCACCTCTTAAAGAGACTCCCTTGGATACGCCCAGTTGGTTCTCATCTTAAGCCAAAGCTCGGGTCAGATTTTCAGCTTCTCTGGGCTGCAAAATGCAGATGGAGAGGCTCATCCTGTACCTACCACAACCTGTTCAGCTTCCTAACGAGATCCTTCTTTTCCTTTTAGAATGTAATAATCACCGTCGTTAAAAGATTAAGGAAAACCTGTATATCCTGATACGGAAAGACGTCTGCTGTACACATGCAGAGAAACCCAGGTCCAGGGTGGGACACTAATTTGTGAGAAGGACAGTGTGGGCAGTGCAGGGGTGACACACTCTGGACGGCTCAGCTGATGTCCGGGTTCAAATCACTGCCTCATGGTTCCGTGACCTCAGACGCAGCTATTTCTACAGATCATTTCTTTTACTTAAGTTACTACCTGTGCCAGACTCCATGCCGCAATGTCCCTTTGTCTGTAAAAATGCGGATGAACAATACCTACCTCTTTGGCCACTGGGAGGATCAATGACTCAATTCCTGTGAAGTCCTTAATATAAGAGCTCAATAAATATTACTGGTGGGGGCAGATGTTAATAATGTTTCTTCTAAAGAGAATTTTGAGGGTGAGTGGTTTCCGTCTTTATTTTGTATACTTGTGAACTGTTTTCATTTTTGCCAGGCTATAATTACTACTGAAATTAAGAAAATAAGAAGCTGTATGCCCTTCTTTTAAATACATAAATGTTACACTTTCAGCTCTTCCTAGGAGCCCTCTGAAAACTCAGGCCCATTCACCCTCCACCACAGGCTCCCCTCACCATGTGTGCGTGTGCGCAGGTTGGCATGTGTGTGTGCGGGGGGTGGTTAATGGTCACTGCGTTTATATTATTTACACATACTCCACTACATGTCCGTGGTGTCGGGTTCTATTCGGTCCAGGAAGTCACATCGTTTCTGTGCTAGGCTGCTCGGGAGTTCCGTACAGCAGCAGCTACCTGTTCTACCCCGCAGTGAAACACTGCCCAGGACCAGAACCACTGTGGGAGGTCATGAACTTGAAGACAGTCCGAGGGCTTGGAAATGCAAGAGATAGAAAGTGGCAAGAAGGAGAAACAGCTGCCTCGGAGTGCTGACCCCGCTGCTCGGCCACTCATCCCCAGCTCCCACCAGGGGGCTGTGTTGCCACAAACAGCCCACCCCACACCGGCCCTCCCACTTCCACCAGCTTTTGCTGCACAGTGGGCCACCGCCAGAAATTCCCTCCCACCCAGATTACTTAAGGACAACAAGGAATTATCCGAGAAAGAGGTGACGGGGGAGCCTGGGTGGCTCAGATGGTTAAGCATCTGCCTTCGGCTCAGGTCATGATCCCAGGGTCCTGGGATCGAGCCCTGCATCGGGCTCCTGGCTCAGCGGGGAGCCTGCTTCTCCCTCTGCCTCTCCCCCTGCTCGTGCTCTCTCTTTCTCTCTCTGTGTCTTGAATGAATAAATAAAAACCTTAAAAAAAAAAAAAGAGGTGATGGGGCTGCTGCTAGGCCCTCAGACAACCATACGAAACAGACGTCTTCCCCCAACTCCTGGAGAACACAGAAATCAGGGGTCCCAAGGGAATGAGAGATTTAGGTGTTTGTAAAAGGAAGGAAGGAAATTTGGGAGGCTGGAGCCCTTTGAGGGGAAAACCAGCCTGAACGGGATGACTTCAGGGCAATGGAAAGCCCTGGCAGGTATCAGAACAGAGAAAGGAGGGGAAGAAACTTTTCCTAGGGCTGATCCCGGAAATCCTCCTTGGACACACACTGCCCTTGGAAGCAGACCCCGGGAAGCTGGCTGGGTGTACCCCGATTCTGTGGGCTGCCCCAGAGGCCTTCACCACCACCTATAGTGCTGTTTGTATGGAGACACAGAGAGCCCCAATAATTAACATACAAACAAGCAGTGGGAACCCAGCCCATTTATAATTTGGAGACAACACGTACTGTCTCCTCATTTGGGCTGCAACTTCCATACCTAACGAAAACTTTGTGACCACTGCCAAGTAGCTCAGAGTCTTGCCCTTTTTAGGTGCTCAGTAAATGTTTAATGATGACAGTAATGACACTTTGTGTCTAGGTACAGACAGTCCTCCAGCCGTGTGACTTCCAGACTGACTGTGTGTTGTCATTGCTGTGCTGTGCGCTCTGTCAGGTTCTTCCCCAGCCAGGATCCCAGGGACTCGCCCACAACTCTGGCCTACCTGTTTGCTAGTTGCTGCTCGAAGTCCCCACATTGCCGCAAGAGCTCGCCACAGGTGGTTATTATCCTAAAAAAAACAAAAAGCACATCAAGTTCAAGTGTCTGGAATGTTGACATTTACAGGACAAACAAACATTGTCTCATTCATAAACATTCTAACTATTTACTCCTTTCGGGGGTGCTGGGTTCTGGAGAAGCGGTTAACCATTGGACAGTCTACCTGACATGTCTCACTAATCAGTAATTCATGGAGAAGGTAAACGCGACTCCCTTCTAACATCCTCAAGTCACAGGCCTCTCTGCTGGGAATCACAGTTCTTTCCCACAGGTCTCAGATAATCTTACACTTCCCAAATACTGAGGTGCTTTGGGGCTCTGTCCTTAAGAAAATGGGTTGGAAATACTTCATATCTAAAATTAAAAACCAGGGCACCTGGCTGGCTCAGTCAGAAGAGCATGTGACTCTTGATCTCGGGGTCATGAGCTTGAGCCCCACATGGGGTGTAGAGGTTACTTAAATTTAAAAACTTTTAAAAAATAAAATAAAATTTAGAAACCAACAATACATTTAAAAAATCATTCACCACAATCAAGTGGGATCTATTCCAGGGATGCAACAGTGGTTCAATATTTGCAAATCAGTCAACCTGATACATCACATCAACAAGCGAAGGGATAAAAATCATACGATCATCTCAACAGACGCAGAAAAAGCATCTGACAAAGTACAACATCCATTCATGACAAAAACTCTCAACAAAGTAGGTTTAAAGGGAACATGTCTCAACATGATAAAGGCCATATATGAAAAACCCACAGCTAATATCATCCCCAATGGTGAAAAACTGAGAGCTTTTCCCCTAAGGATAAAGACAAGGAGGACTACTCTCACCACTTTTATTCAACATAGCACTGGAAGTCCTAGCCACAGCAATCTGACAACAAAAAGAAATAGAAGGCATCCAAACTGGTAAGGAAAAGGTAAACCTTTCACTATGTGCAGATGACATGATACAATACAGAGAAAACCCTAAGACTCCACCAAAAAACCACTAGAACTGATCGATGAATTCAATAAAGTCACAGGATACAATATCAATGTACAGAGGGACGCCTGGGTGGCTCAGTCGGTTAAGCATCTGCCTTCGGCTCAGGTCATGATCCCAGAGTCCTGGGATCGAGTCCCGCATCGGGCTCCCTGCTCCACGGGGAGCCTGCTTCTCTCTCTGCCTCTGTCTCTCTCTCTCTCATGAATAAATAAATAAAATCTTAAAAAAAAAAAAAAACAACAACCAATATCAATGTACAGAAATCTGTTGCATTTTTTACACTAATAATGAAGAAGCAGAAAGGGAAATTAAGAAAACAATCCCATTTATAATTGCACCAAAAATAATAAAACACCCAGGAATAAACCTAACCAAAGAGACGGAAAGACCTGTACTCTGAAAACTATAAAACATTGATGAAAGGAACTGAAAATGATACAAATGGAAAGATGTTCTATGCTCATGGTTGGAGGAACCAATATTGTTAAAATGTCCACACTCCCCAAAGCAATCCACAGATTTAATGCAATCCTTATCAAAATACCAACAGCATTTTTCATAGAACTATAACAAATAATCTTAAAATTTGTATGGAACCACAAAAGACCCTGAAAATAACCAAAGCAATCCTGAGAAAGATGAACAAAGCTGGTGGGATTGCAATCCCAGATTTCAAGATATACTGGAGTAATCAAAACAGTATGGTACTGGCACAGTAACAGTGACTGATCGACAGAACAGAATAGAGAGCTCAGAAATAAACCCACACATATATGGTCAATTATCTACGACAAAGGAGGCAAGAATATACAAGGGGTAAAAGACAGAATAAATAAACCTCTTCAACAAATGGTGTTGGGAAAAGGGGACAGCCACATGCAAAACAATGAAACCGGACCACTTCCTCATACCACACACAAAAATAAACTCAAAATGGATTAAAGCTTAAATGTGAGACCTGAAACCATAAAACTTCCAGGAGAAAATATAGGCAGTATTTCTTTGACATCCGTCATAAATACATTTTTCTAAATATGTCTCCTCAGGCAAGGGAAACAAAAGTGAAATTAAACTATTGGGGCTACACCACCAAAATAAAAAGCTTTTACTTTTTGCGAAGGAAACCATCGACAAGACAAAAAGGCAATCTACTGAATGGGAGAAGATATTTGCAAATGATATATCCAATAAAGGGTTAACATCCAGAATATATAAAGAGCATATACAACTCAACACCAAAAAAACCCAGAAATAATCCAAATAAAAAATGAGCAGAGGACTTAGCAGACATTTTTCCAAAGACAGACAAATGGTCAATAGACACATGAAGAGATGTTAAACATCACTCATCATCAGGGAAATACAAATCAAAACCACAAGGAGATATCACCTCACACCTGTCAGAATGGCTACCATCAAAAATAAAAGAAATAATAAGCATGGGGGCTCCTGGGTGGCTCGGTCAGTTAAGCATCCAACTCTTGATTTCGGCTCAGGTCATGATCTCAGGGTTGTGAGATCGAGCCCCGCATCGGGCTCTGGGCTGAGTGTGGAGCCTGCTTAAGATTCTCTCTCTCCCTCTCCTTCTGCCCCTTCCCACACTCATGCTCATTCTCTCTCTCTCCCCCAAAGAAAGAAGGAAGGAAGGAAGGACGGACGGAAGGAAGGAAGGAAGGAAGGAAGGAAGGAAGGAAGAAAGAAAGAAAGAAAGAAAGAAAGAAAGAAAGAAAGAAAGAAAGAAAGAAAGAAAAAGAAAGAAAGAAAGAAAGACTAAGTTGGTGACGATGTGGAGCAAAGGGAACCGTTGTGCACTGTTGGTGGGAATGCAAACTGGTGCAGCCACTGTGGAAAACAGTACGAAGCTTCCTCAAAAAATTAAAAACAGAACTACCATATGCTCCAGTAATGTCACTACTGGATATTTATCCAAAGAAAACAAAAACACTAATTCAAAAGATATACCCACCCCTATGTGGATTGCAATGTTATTTACAATAGCCAAGATATGGAAGCAACCCAAATGTCCATCCATAAACAAACGGATAGAGTATGTGGTATATATACAATGGACTATTATTCAGCCATAAAAAAGAATGAAATCTTGCCATTTGCAACCCCATGAATGGACCTAAAGGTATTATTCTAAGTGAAAGAAGTCAGAGAAAGACAAATACCATATGATTTCATTCATATGCAGAATTTAAGAAACAAAGCAAAACAAAAGAGACAAACAGATCCTTAACCTGAGAAAACCAACTGATGATTGCCAGGGGGAGGTGTGTAGAGGGATTGGTGAAATAGATAAAGGGGGTTAAAAAATTAAATTAAAATTTAAACCAAAATTCATTACTTAGTATTTGTTAGATGTCTGCTATTTGCAAGACAAAGAAAACTGTTTTTATATATAAGTATCTCTCTCTGATCCCATGAAAGGCAGAGGAAGAGTAATCCACTTGGCTTCTCAGAGATAAGCCTGAATGACCTTCATACCTGTATTTAATAATCCTTTAATTTTCAAGTAATTTTATGCTAGGCCTCAAACTCCAGCGACTGAGGCCTTCAACACTAAACTATAAATGTCAGGACAAATCCAAGGATTAAAAACATCTTAAGTCTAGTTAATTTTTAACTTCTCTAAAAGTGCCTATCCATCACCAGGGTGTCTGGGCGTTCCATCATAAGAAAGGTTTATGAGAAAATGAAATATTCCACTTTTCACTTGCCTCGGTGCAACAGAATAACCTTGTACATAGTATTTTCTGGTATACCAAGCCACCACAGATGACAGAGGATATAGTTAGCATCTAGAACATTAAATTTCATCCAAAAAAAAAAAAAAGTCCAGATCAGAGCCCATGAGGAGATTATCCAAATGGCCCTGGGAGGTGCTGGATCTGCTCTGATTAAAGACAGCTTTCAGGGGCGCCTGGGTGGCTCAGTTGATTGGGCGTCTGACTCCTGATTTCAGTTCAAGTCATGATCTCCGGGTCATGGGATCGAGCCTGGAGTCAGACTCCATGCTCAGCGTGGAGTCTGCTTCTCCCTCCCTCTCTGCCCCTTCCGTTGCTCTCTCACTCTCTCTCTAAAAATGAATAAATAAAATCCTTACAAAAAAAAAAGACAGCTCTCAGAGGGTCTGGATATGCTCTGGTGTGGACCACCACACTAAGAACTCCAAATGTCGTGGGCACCCTGCGCACACGACCTAGACCAGAGGTCAGGCAAGTGGGTGAAGGGCAACATCCCTCTTCAGAATGTACAACCATGAAGAATGGTTTTAAGGAAAAGAAATTCTGGGTTGCTTTTTATCTCAGCCTAAGAGTAGAGCGGCTACCCCACACGGTAGTAGGAGAACAAACAGTGGCACAGAGAACCTACCACCAGTCTGGCAGGGACTTCAGAGACCAGCCTCGGGAAGACGATGCGAACCCACCGCTTCTAGGGCTTCCAATGTTTAGGTGATGTTACAAATCTGGATTATGGTAAATCTGGTTTATAAATGTTGACAACTAACCCAAAATTTTGTAAATGATGTGATCAAGTCCCTAGGTCAGATCTGGCTACAGGCCAGCAGTCTGCACTTTCTGGCTGGACTTTTCAAGGGCCAAACCTTCTCAGGCCACTGCTGATCACATTCTTACCAGGGCTCAGGGCTTAGGGAAGCAGGGGTCTATCTGTTGGCCCACAGGTCACAGGGGCTACCCCCAAGATCTGGCCGTCAATCACACTTGGGAGAGTCACCTCAATCTCTGTTATGGAACTCTAACATGGTCCTTTTCAGGCCAGATAATGTTGCCTTACCATTTAGTGGTATTGTGCTTAGATCTAAAAACGGGATCTGGGGTCCCTGGCTGGCTCAGTCAGTGGAACGTGTGACTCTTAACCTTGGGCCTGTGGGTTTGAGACCCATGTTGAGTGTATAGATAACTTAAAAAAACAAAAAAACAAAAAACTAGGGGTGCCTGGGTGGCTCAGCTGGTTAAGTGTCTGCCTTCGGCTCAGGTC